CTTGTTACTAGAAGCGATGCACTTGTTCCTAGTAGCTTCTTGTTACTGCACATGCTGTGCTTTTGTCTCAGTCCTTTGGACGCTCAGACCTGACGGCTGCGAATCGCCAAATGCCGGGCTAGACCCTGAACTTGCATACCCGTTGCAGCTATTTTAGTGCATTTCTGGCAAAGCCGCAAAAGGCAACCAAGCAAGGTAGGGCCCTCAGTGTGTCACCATCTATGGTGTCTATTTCCATTCTTTTCCCAGAAACACCTTTGTCTGGGTGAGACATGAGGACATTGGCCCTACCGTGCTGGGTAACTACAAGGTGCAAACAGGACACACAATATTGTAAGCTTACTCTGCTGCTTTGCCAGGAGCCCCTAGTAGCGTCCTTGCTCCTAGTAGTAAGGCCAGGAGCCCCTAGTAGCGTCCTTGCTCCTAGTAGCGATGCCCTTTGCTCCTAGTTGTATGCACATTGTGCTTTCACAAAGAGTTACTTGGGGTCTTCGTCATATGGGGGATTTTCACGCAGGGTCTCTTGACAAAGAATAACATGCTCACATTGTGTGAAAGAGGGTCTTATTCACCTGGAGGGACTTTATATTACAACCTGCTTGCGATGGCCTCCAACCTACTAGCGATGGGAGACTAGAAAGGGAATCACGCTGAGACAGAATCTTTTTCTACGCAAACATGGACAACCCAGCAGCTCTACTGTTTGGGGAAAGCGGAGAGAGAAGAGGAAAGAATGTGGAACAAATTAAAGAGTAGCTGAGACAATCAAATGCAAGTTGCTGCAAGTCGTCTTGTCTCAACACTTTCGCAACCACCAGCCACTGCCTGATCGCTGGATTGGAAGATGCCTGAAAGACTGGCCACAACTTGCACGTAGAAGATGCCATTGCACCGTCTCGGCCTCATGTTTTCCTGGGTGCCTGACGCGGCTCATTCTTCGTGGTTCTTTTGCAGGCCTCGCAATGAAGGGGCACACAAGAAACCCGCCGAGGCGCGTGCACTGCGGGGCATGAATGGCGCGCACGCAGCCCAACCGCTTGTCGCTTCCCATTTCCAAGGCAAGCACGTGCTGAAGTATACTCGTAAGGCGGCTGGCCTGAACGCGATGAAGGGTCCACTGGCTCCACAATGTCCATCCAAAATCTCAAGTGATACTTGCTACTAGGTTGGAGGCCATCGCCAGTAGGTTAGAGGCCATTGCCACTAGGGGCATGCAGCTAACAAGTGGCTAGAAGTAAATGTGTCAATAGCAAGTGGCTAGATGTAGCTTAGCTGTAGGAAAACTCAAGACTTTTTGGAGGAACTCCTAATTAAGAACCTTTTTGGAAGGATTCACGAGCAAAGTCAACCTGACACCTTCTTCTTGTCCTTGCAGTTTCTATATTAATGTGTTTCTATGCCTTCCTTTTCAACACTCCAATTGGTATTGATGCCACCGTTTCAGACCGAACATGCAGCTTGACAAGCCCACTCCCTCTCCTGTTCCCATTCCCTCCAAAATCTGCGCACTGCCATCGCTACTAGGTTGGAGGCTTGTTCTAATTAATCAGCCATTTGCAGCCTTTCTAGCATGGTAAAGCCTTAGCCTCCTATAACATCATGCAAAGTTCCTCTTTCTGACGTCACTTCAATTTTATCCCGCAGGCGCTCCGTAAACTAACCCGCTGCAAACAAGGATTTTGATGGAAGGTTCGAGAAGAGCCAATAGATTCAATAAAAGCTACTTGGAACAAGTGCATCGCTACTAGGAGCAAGGGCCTTACTAGTAGTAACAAGAAGCTATTACTTCAACACGATGTCCGAGCAGGTCGGCCCACCTCGCCACATTGGTGCGGTAACCTCAGCGAAGCGGATGATGGTTTCTCTGCATTTCTCTACACGCTTCAGCTGGCCTGACCAAATGCTGGAATCCCACTCAGCTTTGCGGATTGGATTCTTCTTGCGTGCCTCAGTGGTTCAATGCCAATGCCAAACATGGCCAAGCAAACAACTTTGGATAAAGCTGAGCAGCTGCCACTTTCTTCTCCTCGGTTCATTGCCATGTTCAATACCCTACACATTGTTTGTGCAGTCCCTGCCCGAGGCGACTGCTTTCACGCCCCATCTGGGAGGACCGTCTGCTCGACGTGTCTGCTTGCCAAACAGCGCCTCTATAAACCACATCTGATTTCCAACACGAAAGAAAGCTCCAAAGAACACGAAACACCAAGAAACCCATGTTGAATACGTGCCCAATCCAGGGCGCATTGCACACGTGCTCTGCAGAGAGGCCATGCGCAGCTCCTGGGTCAGCTCCAGTGATGGAAAACCTCTTGGTGAACCTTTGCTACTAGCTTCTTGTTACTACTAGTAAGGCACTTGTTACTAGAAGCGATGCACTTGTTACTAGTAGCTTCTTGTTACTAGAAAAGAGAAACAGCATAAAGGTCTATTTTTCTATGGGCCCGTATTAAAGAAATCCTTAAAGGGCGCTTGCCTCTTGTTTCCCCTCTATTTAGGCTGTTTACTGCGAAGTAGTTCTTGCACGACAGCAGATGTGTTCACCTGCACAACTGTATCTACATAGATGCTGATTCTGCTGCTGATGATGAAAAATCTGTAGCTCTTGCATCATCTGCATGGACTCTGTGAAGTCTCATCATATGTCACAGCAGTTGTGTCCGTGTCCTGTGCGCGTTGATGGTGTTTTGCACAGTTGTGCCGCGATGTCGGCCGGGTCTCCAGGGTAATCCAAAGCCTTCAGAACACGCGACCGGGTCAAAGCATAAAAAATGATAAATACTGCATGTTGTTTCTAATAGCTACTTGTTCCTAGTAGTAAGGCACTTGTTACTAGAAGCGATGCACTTGTTCCTAGTAGCTTCTTGTTTCTACTAGTAAGGCCCTTGCTCCTAGTAGCGATGCACTTGTTCCAAGTAGCTTTTTATAATACATTAATCACAAGGATTGAGAGTCTTCGCATCAAAAAAAGGAATTGCTTCGAAAGAACTCGGCTTCGCCTCTAAGCGATGAATGAACTCTTCGACAGGGATGGGCTCGGCGCACTGCAAAAGGGCACACGGGGCATTCTTGAAACCAATTACCAATGGAGCAATGTTCGCTACTAGGAGCAAAGGGCATCGCTACTAGGGGCTCCTGGCCCTACTACTAGGAGCAAAGACGCTACTAAGAGCGTTCTTGCTCCTA